AAGGAGAAGGAGAAGGAGAAGGAGAAGGAGAAGGAGAAGGAGAAGGAGAAGGAGAAGGAGAAATAATTATAACTATAACATAATTAAAGTAGATAGGAACAGGCAAATCTGAAGATGATTTTCTATTGTTCATTGGAAGAATATGAGTTACTCTACTCGCTTTTGGTCCACAAGGCATTTCTAACTCAACCTGAGCATAAGGGGGACAGAATCTGGATTCAGTCTGCAGGTTTTCCATTTAAAATGTGGCGAAATGAAGTGATCGGAGACCTAACTTTTATCCAAGCCTTGGAAAGCAGCGGATGGTCTCAACCAATGAACAATATTGGCCTGGACGAGTGTTTCTCAACCTTGGCAACCTTATGACACATGGACCTCAACTCTCTAGTTGGCCAAGGAAATGTCTGGAAGAAAACAAGCAAGCTCAGAGAGAACCACGGACCCCACAGCTGGATGTATTCCTTAAAGCCAAAGCTCACCAGAACTTACTGCTATTCTGAAGTAGTAGTAGTAGTAGTAGTAGTAGTAGTAGTAGTAGTAGTAGTAGTAGTAGTTGTTGTTGTTTTTACTGTAAGACTTGGAAGAGAGAGTCAGTAGTCTTCACAAAAAAATAAAAATAAAAGCTAGATTGATGGAGAGGTCGCACAGGTCACACAAGTTGTTCATTCACGTTCTGCATGTGAACAAGTTCTTCCTTCTTTTAGATGAATGCTGTTGGGATCACGGAAAACGTGAAGGGAGACCCTCGCAAGTTCGAGATCTGGTACAGCGGCCGAGAAGAAGTCTACGTCGTGCAGGTAGCCTTCCTGGAACTACTGTGACCTTGACAATTGAGGGACAAGCAGCGTCTGAAATTCCTGAAACCGAAACTCAAGTTTCACCCATGGGAAGGAGAACCGGCGAGTTCTCCTCCGTAGGACGAGCAGCTCCCAAACGAAGCTGACACGATATGAAACGTGGCTAATTAAGTTCTATAAAGTTGGACGAGTTTTCGTCCCTAGTTGCAAAATCACGACCGCTTCCGTGGTGTGATTTGACTCGCTGGGGGATGTAGACCTCCAACCCTGATAATGTTACCTGCTTGGCAATGTCTTCAAGAAAACAATCAAGTTCAGAGACCACCAAGGACCCTTCCATTCCACCCTGAGCTAGAAATATTATCTTCTATCGATACTCATCTCTATAGGCGAGAAGGCCGCACCTGAGAAATAAAACCAGGCTATTTGAATGTTTCTACCACCTTCCAAAGGAGGATTTTGATTTTAGATCTCACCATCTTCTCTTAGGCGCAAACGTTTGACCTGAAGATGGCCTGGCTAAATGAAATCCGGAAAATTTTGTTCAAACAGCAACAGCTCATCAAAGGTAAGGTATCCTAGTTTAAAGGTAAAGGTAGGGATGTGGTGGGCTCAGTGGCTAAGATGCTGAGCTTGTCGATCATCAAAGTAGGGAGTTCGGAGGTTCGAATCCCTAGCGCCGCATAATGGAGTGAGCTCCCATTACTTGTCCCAGCTTCTGCCAACCTAGCAGTTCGAAAGCACGTAAAAATTGCAAGTAGAGAAATAGGAACCACCTTTGGTAGGAAGGGAACAGCATCCCATGCGCCTTCGGCGTTGAGTCATGCCGGCCACATGACCACGGAGANGTTTAGTTGGGCGCGGTTTAGTGGAGCGTGGTTTTGTGGTGGAACCTTAAAGTTGATCCTAAGAGCAAAGGTCGTGGAAAGCGGTGACCCTTCCAATAGCTTGACATCTTAAAAAGGGGATTATTCCTTCTCTTCTCATGCAGCCTGGACGGGCATGTCCCATTCCTTAGAAATCTGTGAAGGCCTTGAAGAGTGGTCCAGCCACCATTACTTCTCAACCTGCTCTGACACGGAAGACGAAGATGGCAACCAATTGGTTAGTGAGCAGATTGGGTGGAATACACATCGGGAATTGTAGGCCAACACACAACTTCAAGGAAGGTTGTCCCCTAAACCAGAACTCGGCAAAACAGTCCAACGTGGAATGGTCCAACTTGGAGAAGTGTTGTTCGGAGGGCCGGCGGTGACGAGAGGCCTTCTGTGCCATGGTTGGGCTTTCTTTTGGAACACTCCAAAGAGTTAGAAGTTAGAAGGGTACATTTTAAGGTGGAGGGTTATATTTCTGGCGTAAATCACATATTTATTGTTTGTGCTTTTTAGTCTCCAGGAAAATATAAAGCCTTAGCAGATTGCAAGAAGAGAGACTCGGATGAACTTCTGGTGAAGAACGGGGATGTTATTCAGCTCATGCATGAAGACGGAGAGGGTCAGTGGTAGGTGCTCCAGAGATCCGAGGTCTGGCCTACAAAAAGTAGGCAAGAAGAAGCGCGAGAGTCTTCTACAGCTTTACAAAGCGCTTTCTCTGGCTTGTTTCCTCTTCACCATCTCCTTCCTTCCTTCCTTCCTTCCTTTATCTGAAAGGCTGGTCAAAAACCTCAACCGAAGTAAAGAAGGCTGGGTGCCCAGTAACAGCCTGCAGATAATCCTCGGGGACTGTAGGTTTCGCAGCACCAGAGTCACAGGTACTCCTGTGAGGACAAGTGACTTGCTCACCTGAACTGTTTCGGCCTTGGCATGCGCAGGAGTTGGAAGGCCTGGGCACCGCTTTACTTGCTTGCTTAGAAGAAACCTGACTTTTGCTAAAATATAGCAGGGGATGAAGAGAGATCAATAATCTAATATGTTCCAGGAAGTTAGTATTTAGCAATAGTATGAGGAACTCTTTCTTCTCTTTTCTTCTCTTTGCTCTTCTCTTCCTCCTCCTCTTTCTCTCCCTTCCATCCTTCTCCTTCTTGTCTCCCTTCAGTTCCTCTCCTTCTTCCATCCCCTTCCATTCTTCTCCTTCACCTTCTTGTCTCCCTTCAATTCTTCTCCTTCTCGTCTCCCATCCTTCTTCTTCTAGTCCCCCTTCCATCCTTCTCCTTCTCTTTCTCCTCGCCTTCCTTCAATTCTTCTCCTTCTCATCCCCCTTCCATCCTTCTCATCTCCCTTCCATCCTCCTCCTCCTTGTCTCCCTTCCATCCTTCTCCTTCACCTTCTTGTCTCCCTTCCATCCTTCTCCTTCTTGTCTCCCTTCAATTCTTCTCTTTCTCATCTGCCTTCCATCCTTCTTCTTCTAGTCCCCCTTCCATCCTTCTCCTTCTCTTTCTCCTCATCTTCCTTCAATTCTTCTCCTTCTTGTCTCCCTTCCATCCTTCTCCTTCACCTTCTTGTCTCCCTTCAATTCTTCTCTTTCTCATCTGCCTTCCATCCTTCTTTTTCTAGTTCCCCTTCCATCCTTCTTTCTCCTTCTTTTCCTTCAATTCTTCTCCTTGTCTCCCTTCCATCCTTCTCCTTCTCTTTCTCCTCGTCTTCCTTCCATCCTTCTCCTTCTTGTCCCCCTTCCATCCTTCTCATCTCCCTTCCATTCCTCTCCTTCTTTTCCCTCCTAATGTACCCCAAGAAATTAGCACTTAGCAATAGTATTAAATACTCTTCCTTTCTAACGTACTCTCTCTTCTTCCTCCTCTTCCTTCCTCGTCCTCCTCCTTCTCTTATGATTTTATTTGGAGGACGACAACTGAACTGATCAAGACTTGAAAAAGAAACCTACTTGAATGAGAGGACGTAACGTCCAGCCCAGGCAAGCCATATCTGTGGCTTGCCACTGGGTATAGCAGATGTGTGCCTATGAGAATTGCTTCCTTTTGCCAAGTCTGGATGCATGAACTATGGTTTGGTCTGTAAGTTATGAGGATTAGAAGCATGCTTGCTTGTTCAGACTGGGAATGAAGATGGTTTGCTAAGATCCTGTGCCAAGAAGCTGAATCTGTATTTTTTTAAAGGGGTGGGGGGTGGGGCATTGTATTTCATCCCCTCCACTGTTGTCATGGCCATAAATATCCTTAAAGTGAGTATCAGGTTTGACCAGAGAAAAATTAATTTAATCTTAAGAATCATGATAGGATAGGAACCAAGATTTGGATGTTATGGCAAGAGACTAGTTCTGTTATTCTGTGGGACGACTCCTGTCACATCCATCATTCATTGCTCAAAATATTTTAAATGGTTTTCTATAGCTTTAAGGCCGTCTCTTTCATGTATTCAATTTTTCATAGTGTCACAATCAGTTACAACATCTCAATGGTGTACAAAACCCTTTATATGCTTCCATGTTAGTTATTAGAAGATTGTTATAATCCCCCCTTTTCTTCTTCTTCTTTGTTGATATGGAGATTTGAGTGTTTTCCCCCTGCTTGCTTCTGGAAAATAGCATTTCAAATAACAAATCCCACCAATCGGATCCTCTCTTTAACTAGGGGGATTCTTGATGTCCACGCATCTTAAAAGTTGCCAGGGTTGAGACACACAGTCCTAAAAGAGGCACCTTGTTTTGCCAAATCTTGCCAAATCATCTTCTGTTTCCCCGCCAACAAAATGTTTTTTTATGAAACGATTGATAGGAACTAAGATTGTGCAAGGCTTGGGGTTCCCCATTGTCCGTATTTGGTTTGAAGCACCTCAGATGGAAGAGATGGAAGGAAACATCACTCCAGTGGGAGAAAGCTTCCTTTGAGAATGGTTTATGGCCATGAGGGCAAACCAATGGCACATGTGCCAGAGGTGGCACGCAGAACCCTCTCTGTGGGCAAGTGTGCCATTGCCAAATGCTCTTCTGTCTTCTGGACCAGCCAGCTGGTCTTTGTGGGCACTGGAGCACCAGAAAAACAGTCTGAAAAATGCCGGAAACAGGCCATTTCCTGGGCTGTTTTTCAGACCGGTTCTAATAGAAAAAAGTGGGGCTGAAAACAGCCCATTTTGCAGCCTGTTTTTGGGCTGCTTTCAGGCTATTTTGGGGGGGCATTTTGAGGCCATTTCTCCAGTGCCCGCAAAGACCAGCTGACTGGCACGCGTGTTCTGGTTTGGGCCCTCGGTGCGAAAAAGGTTCGCCAACACTGGTTTATGGCATGACTTTTCCAATCAGGGTTCCGGGTAAGGTTAATAGGCCACGGTCTAATGTGATCTTCCTGGATAACCTCTCTGGCATCATCCAAAGGCTGCCAATCAAACAGTAACTCCTTTGAGACATCTTCAAAGGAGACCAATTACCAGTCCACCTGGATGAAGAACCCACCAGAAATGGCCCAAAGGTGCTTTTTTTTTTAAGAGGCAGCTGGAGTTTCTGCCTTTTCTTTTGAAGATGTTTCACTTCTCACCCAGAACTGAAGAAGCTTCTTGGAGGAGAAGCGAAGGGTCTTCAAAAGAAAAAAAAAAACAGAATGTCCAGTGGTCTCTTGAAAAAGCACCTTTGGGACAACCAGGATTTGGAAAACTGAGGATCTCCCTAGATGTCCCAAAGGTGCTTTTTCCAAAACACAACTGGGATTTCCTGATTTTTTTTCCCCACCCTTGAAAACATTTCTCTTCCCATCTTCTTCAGTTTGGATGAGAAATGGAACACTTTCAAGGCGTTTGGAAGTCTTGAAAAAAACACATTTGGGACAACGGAGACCTGGATGATTGATACTCTCCAAAGACAACTCATCAGAAGCTGTCTTTTCAGAACTGGCAAGGTCCAATTAGAGATTAACTCATTACAATTACGAGAGCTCAAGTCGGCGGCCCGTGAATTGCTAAGAAACATCTTTTGAGTGCATCCCGCACTTTGCCTCTGAAAATGCCAGCCACTGTTGCTGGCAAAATGTCAGGATACCACATCATTAGACCACAGCCAATTAGCCCAGAAGCTAATCAAGGATTGATTGACACTGACCATGGACACCTGCACCAGTAGAAATCAAGCTTTTTTTTTTTCATTTACACTGGAATTGGGGCAGGGGAGGGGACAGATCTGAGCTTCCACCTTTTGCAGGCTTGCTTGACAAAATTGTGCAGGGTACCAGGGAGGGCGAGGGGAGAGGGAGGGTATTGTTATTGTGCCAAAAATGGATCTGTAGCCTTGCCAAGTTGCACTGCCTATGCACTTTAAAGATTTTTTTTTTCTCGTTACGAGATCGTGTGCAAATAGCCTTAATTTAGGTCCTGTCTTGGGGTCTGCTGATGAAGCAGGTAGCACCTGTAATTTACACACCTGTGTTTATGATTCGTTCATCCCTTAGCTAGGAATTTGAAGAGAAGCCATGCTTTCTGGGACCCGTGCCTTCTGACATATAATGCTGCTCTCCGTTGCTTTCTAGACGCCGCCCAGGATAGGATGAGGAAGTTAAGCTCCCCCTGAATTTAATGAATTAAGGCCCAGCCCCTTTGTGAATACTCCGTTGGAGACAGAGTGGCCAATTAGAACTTATTCGGTCATCTGTGGTCCAAACTAAGGGGACAGCCCTTGGCTGTTCTGGTCTGGGCTTAGAAGCTAAGCAGGATCGAGCCTGGTTAGTCCTTGGATGGGAGAATTTTCAAGGGGCTAGGCTAGAGGGGAAGTTGGAAACCGTCCAGAGGAAGATGATGGCGATCTATTTTGAGGAAACTCTATGGACGTATCTCTGTAAGCATCGCAAGTTGACCTCAACTTGAAAGAAACTTTACCTTTTTTATCATCAAAAACATCACATCCCCATCCAGTGGGACCATGACTGGGAGCCATTCTTTCCTCTTCTTTTTTCATTTTCCTTCCTTCCTCTACTTCTGGAAAACCTCCATTGTTTTTGACCCAAGGACGAGACCTCGTCTTCCTCTCTACAATATCTCCTGAGTTTCCTTTTGAGAAGGCATTTGACAGTTCCCGTGGCTTTGGGGGAAGGTTGAAGGACGAGCTTCTGGTTTTTCCAACCACCCCTTTGCTGGGATTGGCTGGCCTCGACTGAGATCTTGTGGGGTCTCAAGGAAGCCAACGTTGGTAGGTTTTGAAGGAACTTTGAGATCAGTCAAATGTCCTTCTGGTTTTGCTCTAAAGAGTCTGGGTTGTGTCTCAAGACTTGGTCAATGGGACGCTCCAGATTGTAGAGATCTCACTGTGGTTTCTTCTACACTGGCCAAGCCAAGGATCTAGCAAAGTTTGCACGGGGATTTTTAAGGGGCTGGGGGAGGGGGGAACATATGTGCCATAACTAAGTCCAGGATCCATTTGCACTATATGTATTAAGACTGTCCTTGTTAGTAGCGAGACTATATGTTTCGGCTCTTCAAGAGCCCACTTGTTCTTGGGCAAGGATTGAAGGCCTTTTCAAAGGGACTTTCCATCATTTACTTTCTTGTGCACCTTCAGGATTTGTACATTCTTCTTTGTAGGCTCAGGTAATTTGGTGTCTACAGACTACGGTTACAAATTTAACCTCCCAAAGCATTTCTAATCACAGGGTAACTATTGGGACAGGCTACTCACAACCACTCAGGGCAGTGAATGGTGTGCATAAACCAAAAAAAATAATAAATCACTGTCAATGTAAGTTGTCATCTATCTGTTTTCGTTGACGTGTTTCTCATCTGGTTTTGGGATGGATTGGGGGTGGGGGGAGAGATATTCTTGTTTTAAAAGCCCGGATTCGCCTGGACCTGTGAAAACATTTTCTTGTCTTAATCTCCATTTCTGCACACTTTCCTAGTGGCGGAAGATCACGCCGTTGCTGCTCTGCTGGAATTCCTTGCCAGAATTCCGTAAACAAGCCATTTTCACCCCCCTTCCCCATGTATGTGAAGCACCATTGAAATCACGGTACGACACTTTTAAAATGAGGATAGGTTCATTACGGCGGGACCGCCTGGTTAACCCAAAGGAAGGTTATTTTTAAAAGTGTTCATCCTCATGTGTACAGCACAGTTCGAATCTTTTTAACTTTTGTCTACCAGGTACCTAAATTGTACATGCTTCGGTTTACCTACGTAGCAAGTCTGAATCTAATGTTTTAGGCTGCGCTCAGAGATTGACCGCGTCTAGGATTGCACTTCTGAACTTCGAAAACTTTGCACAAAACCGTTGAGGGCCTCTTAAAAACAGGCTGGTGTTAAAATGTCCATGTGAGACCCCGAGCTGTGGAATATATGCTTTCCCTGTCCCAATTATTTAACAGATTCTGTAAATGCCATTGTAAGAATGAGCTAACTCTATATTTAAAAAAAGAATTATGAACCTTGTTGAATAAAGAAATACAGCTGAAGACTTTTCCTTTAGTGCAGAGTGTTTTGTGTCTGCTTCCTGGATTGAGAAGGGAAAGGCGTCTTTTTCTCAAGTTGCAATTTAATTCAAGCCTTAGTAAGACCCAGTGGTGGGATTCAAATAATTTGACAACTGGTTCTCTGCCTTAATGACCGTCTGGGTAGGCGGGGCTCGGTGGTCATGTGACAATGCTGGCTGAGGAATTCTGGGAGTTGAAGTCCACAAGTCTTAAAGTTGCCAAGGTTGGAGACCCCTTGCTCTAGAGCAGTGTTTCTCAACCTTGGCAACTTGAAGATGTCCGGACTTCAACTCCCAGAATTCC